GATCTGTGCCTCATTCGCACTCAAAGGCGTTTTCCACCCGTTCATGTCCGGTGGCGTCACCGTCCCTTCCGTCAGCACTGGCCAGGCCTTCGCTCTCGAGTTCTTGATCACTTTCAATCTCTTGTTCGTCGTCACTGCCGTTGCCACTGACACTCGCGCGGTAAGCAAAAATCTATTTATAAATATAAATTAATAGGTTATAATATATTTAATCATTTATTTATGTTCTTATGCTATTAGCAGCGAGCACTATCCCTCACCTATGAACTTGAAAATTAGTGAAAAACTTGATGAGTGACTATTTAGTACGGCAGCTAGGAGAGAAAAAAAAGACCGGTAGTTTGAACCTAAGACCTTTCTTTTATATAATTATTATGAATCTGAAAGTTTGAGCCGATGATTATAATATGCTTAGTCATTTATTTATATTTTTAAATCCTCCCCATTAAGCTGAAAAATAAACCTTAAATATCAATGACCCCATAACTTAAAAGCTAAAAAAATAGGTTAGATTATATTTGATCATTTATTTATATTCTCAAAACTTCCTCACGTATTTTCTTTTAAAAAAGTAAAACCTTCCACTCACATATAGAAATTGAAATTAGCACCACTTAATTAGTGAATATTAGAAATGTTTATTATTGGACTCCAAATATCCAAATATAGAATATCCTCATGTGATATCATATTAAATCACTGTTGAACCTTAAAAGTATAAGCTAAGTCGATGGTTATAGTATATTTAATCATTTATTCGTATTATTAATAAATTCGTCCATTCAGGTAGGAGAGTTGGCTGGAATTGCAGTAGGAGCAACAGTGATGCTCAACATCCTCGTCGCAGGGTTAATATTTCCTTCTATTCCTTTTGTTTATTTTTTCATATTTGAAATCCAGAAGTAATATAAACCTCAAATCTTTCATAAAGTAAATAATTTTCTGAATTATGTTGTTTCATATCAACTGCTCGTAGAATTAAAACCAATCAAGTTGAAATCACATCTTAAGATCCCAGTTTTTGATACTTTTTCTCAACCAACGTACAGAAAAATTAGGTGCCAAAGTTGACACATCTTTCCCACTTTGCCAACGATTTTCATACACAAAAAAACTATATTTTATAAAAATAAAAGAGATAGAGAATAATCTCTGAAAAACGACAAATCGTATGCAAGTTCTCACTCTGTCGTTTTCTTCAATATCTTTCAATCAAAACGAGTTTTCTTTTTTTTCCCCTTTTCAAAAGGGTTCAGATAAAAAGTTTCCAGTGCCAGCCGCTGACTTGACGAAAAAAAAAAGAAAAAAAGATTCCTTTTTTCTTCAAGAGGATGCAATAATTGACACTTCTTTTTGGTTGGCATATGGCAGGCCCTCAAGTGGTGGTTCGATGAACCCAGTGAGGACTCTGGGCCCCGCCGTCGCCGTCGGAAATTATAGGGAATTGTGGGTGTACCTGGTGGCTCCGACACTGGGGGCCATCGTTGGCGCCGGAACCTACACCATCGTCAAGCTGAGAGACGACGAAGTGGGTGCTCCGGTGCAGGTAAGGAGCTTCCGTCGCTGAAAACATGCGACAGCAGTGCTATGAACAATACTTCTCTACTGAATGGGCAACAAGAAATTTACTATTATATTTTTGACACTCTCCTTCTCCATGTTCTCTCCTACCTGTCAAAAATTTAATAGTATTTCTACTGTTGGATCGACAAGGAAGTATTGTTCGGTAGCTATATCTATCAATGTACGATAAAATGGTGTCTATGTGTGATTAGTAGAAGAATAAAGATGAGAAAGGCGATGTGATTGATGAGACTTCAATGGCCAAACGCCCAACTTTAGATGAAACTGATGAAATATTGTTGGGGTTTTGGAAGTGATGGAGAATCATTGATTATCTCACAGCCTTCTTGATTGCTATGTTTGTGGTGTTTCTTCTTGTGTCTTGTCTTAATTTCTTTTGAAGTCTTCTGCTGTAAAAACACTGTGGCTTCCTTTATTTGTGTGGATTTGCTTGTGATCAATATAATAGACGTCTTGTTTTTGTGATACATGGGCCTTATACACATGGATTATTGTAAGTTAAATTTATATTGGTTGGTTTTTTTATGTGATTTATTGTGGATATGTAGTAATATCTTTTAACCACACAAAAAATAAGTCATATATAGTAAGAGCTTCTTAGGGTTAATGGGTAAGCAATTATATTCTTCCCAAGTACACAAGTATGGAAATTTTTTTTTTAGGACTACAAATTATGGATAATGGGTAATGGTAGTTTGAACCCGATCTCATGAGAAGTAGATGAATTTTGCCTAGCTCTAATCGTGCATTAGTTTCACCTGAAAGGCCTTTCAATAACAATAAAAACGGTTGTGTTCACTAATATGCATAGATTTTCCTCTTCCCTACGCAATGTAGGATGTTGGTTTGTTCTCTTAACAATCCTCATCGGTTTCGTACAAAGTATCACTTTGACCTACACTCAAATAGTTATTCACATTCGTCCACTTCTGACTGACAACAAGAGCTTGTTTAATCTAAGGCTAGCAATATATGTCTGATGGCCACGACATTTACCTGCAACATGACGGTACCACCTACTTAACTTAGCTATTTAGAAGAGTGAAGATTATCCTTTTTAGCATGATTCGTATAGGAAAATCCTCTTGGGTAAGTCTTTCTCATGATTGAGCCACCAAAATTTTAGCCAGCCAGATAGATCAACCTCTTCGAATGTTTTCTCCAAGCTTTTGGGGAATGACCGTTTCAAAGAGAGGTAAGTTTTTCATATGGTGTACTTTACATCATTGCATAAACACATATACGACAAAATGCAGGCTCGTTTATTTCACTACAAAAATTATGGTTTTTAGTGATGAAAATAAAAGCTATTTTGCGTCGCTAAAGATTATTAGTGGCGACACAAGTGGTTTCGTCGTAACGGACGTCACTGAAGATTTTGGAGACGAAACGTATGTTGAGTTTGTAAGGTGAATGCAAACAAACTCCCACATTAACTAGAAAAGAGCATGATCAATGGTATATAGATGAGGACAATTATCTCGAGTGGTACGAGACCTTTTGGGTTAAACCAAAAATAAAGGCACCCCTTCCCTCTTGCCCTTCATCATAATTCCATACATAAATAAATCTCAAAGTCATAAACTATCTTTATGTTCAACATACTCCAAACATATGTAATTCTCGGAGCATAATCAGAACACCAAGATACTAACTTTACAACATACCTTCCTCTCATCTCAATAGCTTGATTCATTTCCTCTCAAACTATTCATTTCCTCTCAATGTTCTCTTTGGTTGTTGTTGAGATAGTTGTTATTGAGTCTCTTATTGTTGAGCCACCGATGCTTCTTTGGTCCTCGCGCAAGATGACGCATCCTCTTGGTCAAACTTTATTTCCTCCATTTTTTAATTAATAATAAAGCTTTCATATATAGCTTTCTTTTGTATTTATGTTTCTTGCCTACTTCATTTTGAATGAAATTATTTATTTTTCAAAAAAAATATATATGGAGTCCAATGGTTTAATTTTTCATGAACCAATGTATAAAGTCTATTTTAATAAAAAAAAAATTATTACATTAAAACAATATTATTAAGTACATAAAAGTAAAAAAATATCCAAATGCAAATGTTAATGAAAATGCATCTAAGGTGTCCGTTTTAATATAAATAACGTCAAAATATAGACCTAAACATATATTTCCAGAAATTATTTTACTTTGATTATTATCTTACATCTTTGAAAGTTAGCACTGTGTATATATATCTTTTTTATGAACCTTTAATTAATGTCCAATTCTTCATATATGTTGACGTAAATATCAATATGTATATTATTCCTTAGTTTATTCGGTACTCTATAATCTCTAGATGGAGTGACGAACCGATATAAACTCTAAGGTTAGCTTTTCTATCTCTATCTTGTGGCACCTTTTTTACTACTCTTCGAGCTAATCCCTCCTTTTTATTATTATTATAAAGTTTGATCTTCTATTGAAGATGATTAATTCCCAACAAGAAAGAAAAAGGATAGAAAGCATGAGTTGTGGTCTTTTTTTTTTAGTACAATAAAGGGATGAAAAATTGAATCTTAAACCACTAAAAGACAAGTAAGATGCCTTAACCGCTGAGTTAAGCTCATATTGACAGGTTGTTTTTTACTTATGCGTTTACTGCTGCTGAAGAAGAGAGAAAGGATTCAAGATTTTATCATAAAATAGAAATAAATCGAAAATCTTCAAATTTTTTGAAGAGTAGAACCAAAGTATCCCTATTTGTTTTAACTAACTCCAATTCTATTACAGTTAAGCTAATTTATCCACCATCTGCCACGTGTAAAGAAAATGTCCACTAAGGAAATTTGTTAATATGTTAGCGACATGGATCAAATTTGATGAAGTTGACTATAACAATAGCAAAATCATCACGTAACATGCCTAGTTATATTTTAGATAGTGTCTATGGTTAAACATTTGATTTCAATGACCAATTCGTAGAAAATAGACCATATCTAACAAACAAAACACGTAACTTGGCTAGTTAAAATTCATGGTTAAACATTGATTTCAAAGACCAATTAGATGAAATTGACCATACAAGCAACCATACCATCACGTCACTTGCCTAGTTGATTAATTTGGTTACTATTCATAATTAAAACATTGATTTCAAGGATCAATTTGATGAATACCTTTCTTAGCGTCCATATCCAAACATTGATTTTAGGGATCAATATTGGGGACCATTAATGTCATTTTGCACATTGCTAGATTGCAAGTTTGTTTGTTTCTACCAACTTCTCCTTTTTCAATAAGCTCGTGGTAGCTCATTATCTCCTCCTTCTAAGTACTATTATACCCCTTTAGTTCTTTCTTGGGATGCTCCTCCGGACAATGCCCATCATGGATAATCTCATGCTTTTATAGTTAATTCCAAGACAAGTTTAACCCTTTTGTCTAGAGTCGACGTACTTTCAATAAACCTTAAAATTAGTCTAGACAACTAGTTTCTTTTTTTCCCTTTTTTTTTTAAGTTCAACATTTTCATGTGGAAGACTGAATCGTCGACTTTAAAGATGGTAATAGGTACTTTATCCACTAAGCTATTTCTCGAATGGAAAGTATTAGTATTATTTTGTCAACTCATAAAAAATTAACTTCACCTTCATGCTAACAATATTGAGAATTTAATTTTGAAAGACTTATTCAAAGTATAATGACTAAATTTAGACATTCGAAAATACACCTACTGAAATATAGAATATTAACTCTCAAAGTACAATGACCAACATGATATTTTAATTACCTTTATTATGTCAATAGTATGAATTAATAGGGATTAAACTTGAATCAGCATCTAGTCGAATACCAGTAAAGGAAAAATCACTCTTCAAACCATGCTTTCATTTTTTTTTTTACTTATTTCACACCGCTATACTTACATATACATCTAAAACATAATACTTCCTTAGGTAGGATTTTAACTAAGAAAATGACCTATTCAGTTGATCAACTCTACGAACATTTTGTAAGAAAAAATAATAATTTCTTTTAGTATCTTTTCGTTATTTATTAAGGTCTTTTTAACTAAGAAACTTATGAGAGAGGTCCCCAAATAAATGAGGAATAACCAAAGCCCTAAGCACCTTAATATTATTGTTCCCACAGCTAGGATTGTAGCTAGAGTTACATGTAATGATTCTCTCTTCTTCCCTTCTTTAAATAGTGAGCACGAGAGACATACAATATTTTACGATTCATCTTCAACTAAGATTTTTATGTAAACATCGAAGGGACTTATACAGGTATACATTGATCTTCTTTAGTCGTGAGCCTTTTCCTTTAGTTTTTTTTTCCTACATGGGTATGATAATTTTAATGTGAGGTATAGGTCGGTTCATGTAGAGCTCGTTTGGTAATGTTTCTGTTTTTTGTTTTTCGTTTTCTTTGTTAATGAACAAAATAAAATTGTATTTGATAATTGTTTCTTTTTTTTTAATTTATTATTGAAAAAAGAAATAGAAACATGTTTGGTAACTCTCTCTTACTTTTCGTTTTCTAAACTTTTTTAATTTTTTAAATTAAATATTTTAACTTTTATGTTATATTTATTTTTTAATATTTATTATGCATTTTATAAATCAAGAATATAAGATAATACGTTTATTTATGTTTTGGAATAAGCTAGAAAAGTGAAAAAAAAGTACAAATTTTTTTATTTTGGTCGTTTCTTAAATTTCTATACAATTTTATAAATGTTTATTTAAAATGGGAAACGAGTAACAAAAATAGTTACCAACGCTTATATTTCTCAAAAACTAGAAATAAGGAAGGAGAAGCGAAACATACCTATTTTCTCGACCAAAAATTTTGCAATAATAATCTCAATAGTAAGTAATAAGTAAATATCAATTAGATAGGAAAATATCTAATATTATATTTGACAGTAGTAAAAGAAGGATAATTGCTAAGGTATAAGCATACATAATTACCAATCAAGGTATAACTTATCTAGTCGAAATTTTGAACATCTCCACGCACTCGAACTAATTAAAAAAAGAAAAAAAAAAACAAAAAGAGTGAGAAGGAATAGTTTGAGCTTAAGAAGTGCTTAATTATGTTTTATTATCATTATTATTCAAGTTATGTGAAGCTGTTCTTCTCTTTGGATTTTCTTACTAAAACCATTTACAAGCATCTGAATTATTCTTTTTGTAACCTCATTCCTCCCCAAAATGGAACTTGGCTCTCTTTTAGTTCATCATAAACTAAAATAATAATAATAATATTGTAAAATTTTAAACTTTCCCTCTTACGAGGTAAAGTTTCTCTCCTTTTATGAAGATTTTTAGCTCCGTCCCTTCTCAAAAAGAAGAAATCTGTAGATGAACGCTTTTCACATCCGAGTCTTCAAATACGAACAGTGTTTCTTATCCTGACTTCTTAAAAAGAATGTTTTTATTTTGCTTAATCAGTAAAACACAGCCCAAAGAATTAAGAAGAAAAAAGATGATGATGGAAATGGCTGCAGAGTCAGAAAGTGAGACGCCGGTTTCGTCAGCTCCGGCGACGCCGGGGACGCCAGGGGGGCTGCTGTTTTTCGGTCGTCACCAGTTGGATTCTGCGTCGTATGATCGGAAACAAATGCCGCCACGGCAGAAATGCTTCCCGGCCGTGAACGCCACCACTCATCACTTCCCTTCTCTTGATGTCTCTCTCGCTCGGAAGGTATCCTTGCTTCTTCTCCTTTCATTTTTTCTTTTTCTGTTTTAAATCTCGACATTTTTATCAATATCGATATTTTCTTTTTAATTTAAATATATATATATATATATATATTTTTTAGAAATATGCATCGATATCAATATTTTAAATAGTCATACGAAGGAACTCAATAATAACATGTTTAACTCACTCTAACACCATGTTTTAATGAGTATAGTTATGATTTTTGTCGGTGAATTTGTCTAAAATAAAAAAGTTAGGAGAACAAAAATGGAATTTGAATTTTAAATAACTTTTAATTATAATAAAAAGAAAAGAAAACCTTGGTCATATTGTAAATTTTAACTTTAGCTTTCAATTTAATCAAACTAAGGTAAAATTTATTTAATCAAACTAAGGTTAAATTACAAATTTTGGTCCCTACAATTTTGGCTTAGTTTCAATTTTGCTCTTATGGTTTTAGAATTCAATCTCTATGATTTGGGAATAAGTTCAATTTCGTCTATATGATTTCAAAAGTTTCATTTTGATCCCTATAATTTTGAACTTAATTTCAATTTGGTGCCTACGATTTGAACAAACCTTACGAATTGTCTTTAAATTAATTGTGTTTTACCCACCTGAGAAAACCCACTTATTTTCTTCTATTTTTTACTTGATTCAAAACTCTTATACGGTCAGAGCTAACATAATTAGCCAAGAAAACATTAGCTTGCCATCATAATCCTATGAACTAAAGTAAAACTAAAACTTTCGTACTAAGTACCAAATTGAAATTATGCTCAAAATTATAAGAAGTAAATTTATAATTTAACTTCAAATTCAACTTTAAACTTAAATAAATCAGGTAATTAATACCCACAATTAGTTATTAATTACTGAAAATTGATTCTTATAGTCATGTGTTGTAGTAGGATTCTTTTTTAAACTCAATTGGAACATTTTATAGTTAAATTTAAGCACTTCTTGTCTACTTAAATTTGTTGTTAGAATGCTAATTAGGTTGGCGTATGAATTAAGTTTGGACCTTTACCTAGCTTGATTCTAAGTACTTTGTTGGATAAATTTTGCAATTTTGCAAGATTTGATTAGTTAGTTTCAATTTTCTAATTTAGTTCTAAAGAGCCACAAAATTACATATATGGTTTAGGTTTAATTTTGATTTGGTTCGTAAGTTTTGGATTTAGTCTCTATGATTTTGCTAAAGTATCCCTTAACAATCTCACTTAAAATCTAATTTTTCCCTTGTTTTTCCTCAACCTTAAATCCAAATATAATCAACTAACAAATCTAGTCAAATAAAAATATGAATTAATTGCCATGTAAATATTAAAATATATGTCACATTTAATATATTGGATCATTTGTCAGATTTGACTAAATTTAATGAAAGTTGAAATTATATAGAATATAGATTTAAGCTTTTAAAACTAATAGAGATGAATTGAAACTACATCATGATCAAATTTATAAGTTAATCTTATGAATACAATTTATCCGAATTTAGGATGAAATTTTATGTAATAATTGAAAGTTTATAATATAATTGATAATTTTATCGAGCTGGACAAATTTGCCTAAAACTATCCTACCGTCTATTACATGTGTTCGGAATCTTTGGCAAAGATTCGAATTCTCACCTTCACAATCTTCCAACTCATCTATCTAAAGTTATCAGCCACATTATTGGAACTCGTCAAATAATTTCTTGACTATTTGGTTTATGTCTAGCTCGGAGCAGAATTTGTGGGAACATTTGTCCTCATATTTGCTGCAACTGCGGGACCTGTCGTCAACCAGAAGTACAACAATGTGGATTCTGTTATAGAAAATGCCTTGTGCTCCGGGCTAGCGGTGATGATCGTCATTTTCGCCGCCGGCCACATCTCCGGCGCCCACCTCAACCCATCACTCACCATTGCCTTTGCCACTCTCCGCTACTTCCCATGGCTTCAAGTCCCCGCCTACATCGCCACCCAGGTCTCCGCCTCCATCTGCGCTTCCTTCGCCATCAAGGCCATTTTCGGCCCTTTCATCTCCGGTGGTGTCACCGTCCCTTCACTCAACACCGGACAGGCCTTTGCTCTCGAATTCCTCATCACTTTCAATCTCCTGTTCGTCATCACCGCCGTCGCCACCGACACTCGCGCCGTAAGTAAAAATTGTTAAGGATCTTACATTGAAAATAAAAGTGATCGTACAATAGTTTACAATAGACCTGAACTACTTCTCCATAACTAATTGGTTTTGAGTGGATTCTCAATAAATATCGATAAAAATCTCTCTTTTTAAGCTTCTTTCTATATTCATACTTTCTTTTTAAATTTCTTTTGCAGGTCGGAGAGCTGGCCGGAGTCGCTGTGGGAGCTACGGTGATGCTCAACATTCTCATCGCAGGGTAAATATTTCCCTCCATATTATTCTTTCGTCTCTTTCAAGTATGCTAACCTTTTCAAAACCATGCACATTATGTACTATGAACACTCAGAGTACTTTACGTAGGATTATTTATTTATTACGGCCGTGTTGGATAAAATTTCGTTTTTGGTTTTTTATTCTGAAAACTTTGTTTGGTTTCTCCACAATTCTCCTTTGTATATTTTTACTTTTTTCAAAAACGTACCCATACTAAAATTTCAAAAAAAAAAAAAAATTAACTATTTTTTAGTTTTCATAGATTTTAAAAACGTTTTAGAAATAAAGATAATGACAAAACAAAGAAATATACGATGGGAAGTAATCCTTATAAACTTAATTTTTAAAAAAGGAAAATTCGTCCCATGATGCTTTAGAAATACTAAAGTGAAATAAATATTCAATTTTCACCCATGATGGCAAGGTGTTTCGATTTTCACCCAACTTTCAATTTCATTCCATGAGTATTGCAATCTTTTACTTGAATAATTATTACCATTTTTCTCGTAGATTTGTTTGAAATTTTGTGAAAAAAGTATATTCACTTCAACGTTGAATGAATTATGAAACACATGCCTGCCTATCTAATATGTCTAGTACAAGGTTGATGGGACCTTTGTAGAGTGATGACAGCTGAATTTTTGTTGGAATTTATGAGATTTTGGAGATTTATTCGCTGAGTGATCTCACACATTGATCCGACATAATTTTACGAGAGCAACGGATTTAATTTTCTTCGAAATTAGTGAGTTCCGAGAGATTTTTAACCTTTTTTTTGTTAATATTAATGAGTGGATAGAGTGGTAAACTGAACATAAAGTAAAAATTGCAAGAACTTATCCAACTTCTAGTGGTAAATTTGATGAACCTGATTGAAAGTTCAAGGGTGAAAATTGATATATCTTAAGGTAAAAAATGGATTTTTCCTTTCCCTAAAGTGATAAGTTTCTTCTGCATGTGCTTTTAATATAAGTTGATTTTGACTGAAGCTCGAAAGAAAGATTGGTTTTTGTTCTTTGAGAGAATTGATACTTTCATCTGTGATGGCAGGCCATCAACTGGTGGTTCAATGAATCCAGTGAGGACTCTAGGACCGGCCGTGGCCGCTGGAAATTACAGGCAGTTATGGCTATACTTGGTGGCTCCTACTCTCGGGGCCATTGTCGGTGCCGGGACCTACACTGTCGTGAAGCTTCGAGGTGATGAAGTCGAAGTTCCCGGACCGTTAAGTGGCTTTCGTCGCTAAAATAATAACAAAGATTAAAAGAATAGAAAAAAGGCCATGTGATTGATAAGGCTCCATGGCTGAGAACCCTAAAATTGATAAGGTCTTGGGGTAGGGTTCGGCTGCGATGGATATAATGGTCATGATCCTTGCCTTTGATTGCTATGCTTGTTTTTTTCT